GATTTGCTAATGTATTCCATTCCTGCTTTGTGTGAGTGAGCAATCTGAACAGCTCGAGTCGTAAGCTATAGATGTTTGCTTTATCTATTGTGGGCTGGTGTCTTTTATATAGTTAACAAGATGACACTTGTTAACAAGAGCCACAGAGTATGCTTATAGATGGGCAAGTACGTATTGCATCCATAAAAATGCAATTAAGTTATTGTTGTGTTTGCTTGTAGAACACCACCAAACTTTGTAACATTGAAACTGGTCTGACTATCTTTATTCAAACTTGAACTATGAAAGGAATTCTGGGAAATTTTCTATTGCCTCTTCACTAGGTCAAAAGTGTAAAACTGTAGCTCCAACTGAGAACCTTATTGAAACTTCAAACGGACCACACTTGTGGAGGTTATCAATCTGTGCTGGAACATACCAACAACTGTGCAGAAGTATTTGAACCCCATGTTCTAGAAGGGGTTAAATATTTACCACTGTCATAATGGCCATTGAAAATCAATGTGAAATGGCAACACAAATATCAAGATGAAAGGTTATGTAGAAATGGGGGTTATGTAGAAATCACTGAAAGCTCCCTAGCAACCAAATTTTCTGAACTCCATCTAAGCTGGGGTAAATGACACAATAACTTAAAAGGGAACATTACATTATGCCACTGACCCCTCCATAGCAACCCGTCTGTTTACCCTAGCAACCAACTTGGCATATTACTACCTCAGCTAAGGGAAATAATTGGGGTTGGTTTATATCACTTATATTGGAATGGGGAAATCTAGATGATGGCACTGACACCAACCTTGACAACCAATCTGTTTTGCTTAAAAAATACTTTTAAAAGGAACATTTGCAAGCCTACATCAAAGCTTGTGTAACTATCTAGTTATGTTTTTGTCTGAGCACGCAAGCAAAATCAGTATGTGTCAAATATACACTTCCCTCCCTTTAGCTGCCACCACCTTTACTGAAGATTTATGTTTGGTAACATTCTTTTAGATCTATTTATTTAAATCAATTTTTAAAGTCAAATTTCTTTGTTTTACATGGATTAAGCTTAAAAATGTGTAGAATAGTATTGCAGAATCTGAAAATGGGGTGGATCTCATTAGAATATTATTTGAAGAGTTTAAAATGACTGGTAAAACCATGAAATTTAGAGGGTCTTTACTTTATATTGACATGAAAAACATATAGCGACTAAGCCCTCCATGGCAACCGGACTGTTTACCATAGCAACCAATTTAGCTCATCTCTAGCTCAACTTAAGAAAGTCATAGAGATATGAGAGTTAGTTTATTTAATTCATATCGACATTATGGACATTATATTGTCACTGACCCATCCAAAGCATTGAGGCTGTTTACCATAGCAACCAATTTGGCATATCTCTATCTCAGCTTATGTAAATCATAGTGATGTGGGGTTGGTCTATGTTTCTTATTAGGACATTGGCAACAATTTAAAACATTTTTAAACACCTCTAGAATGAGCCAACATCAAAGTTTAGACCCATCTTGGTCACACGACATAACATCGCATCCATAGCAACAATCACTGTAACATTCTTGGTTTCTGCCTTTTGTTCACGTAAACAATTAGTCCTGTTTGTCTGCAACCCATAGTACTGAAATGATGTATAGTTACCTTTAAAAAAAGAATTAGTTCTTTAAGTGATGACGTTTCGATTGGCTTCCTATCTTTATTAATGCAATACACAACACGTCACCATAATAACTGCATTACATAAGAACAATTGAAGATGTGTATTGTATAATTAAATGATGCAATGATTTATTAATACACTGTTGGAAATCCAGTCATGAACTGGAAACCTGTCCGCAAACATCAGCAGACCTTATAACCTAATTAGTATTCATAAGAATTCACAATGAATCCTAGCAATCAGTAACCTGCAGCTAATCCTTTGCATAATTGACCTGGTATCGGTTGGACTTGATAATAATGTGTATTTAATGAGGCAAACTGGGTGATAACTAGCAATTTATCACTGGTTCATACAGGTGGTTATAAGGATCCACGTTTTCCTGGAAAGAAAAACTTCAAACGGTGGCCTGATAAACACGTGAAAAGAGGTCATAGTGAAAGTTCTTCACAGAAGAATGTGTCGGGACACTCTGGCGCCATTGAGGAAATAGGGACACATACAGTACTTCTAGAAAAGTTTTGCTCTTTATACTAATGAATATTCCCTATGCAGAAACTTCGATCACATCAGCTGTTCAGGAATTCAGTAGAGGGAAATCATTTTTTTTATACTCACAGAGCTCCAATATAGTGATTTTTAACGTTGCAGATTTACATAAATACAATTTTTCTGGGGGTTGAATCCTTCACCCAGGATCTGGATGAGGGTGGGCTTCTCAGTGGACTCAACTTCACTCTCTAACTGTACAGTGGTTTGAATATGCATGAGAATGCATATGTTCCAGTAATTAGAACCGACTCTGATTGAAATCTTTTGAACGTAGCTTTGCAAGTGGTTCCCATAGCTACCGTCTTTTTTGGTGGATCTTTGTTAGTTTTAGAATTACAGAGGGGTTCTCTTCTTCCCTATACAACAGTTTCTCTTCAGCAATCAGCACCAAAACATGGACCAACCAAAAGCTTAGTAAGCTCTTGCTCTATTTTATGTACAATTGGATCAAGATATGTAAAATTGGTTGCTAGGGTAAACAGTTTGGTTGCTAGGGAGTGGTCAGTGATGTCATAAAATTGTAAGTTGTTACTATGATTAAAATAAACAAACCCTCCTTTCCATATGATGTTACCTCTTGATATTTTCGTTGCATTTTCCCCCATTCATTTTCAGTGGCCCAAAGTCAATGGTAAATATGTCAAGAGCCAAAGTAATTTGGCACAATGTCTGGAATTCACATTATTGTGTTTAGAAGACACTTTTATCCTAAGCAGTGTAATGGAAAAAAAATATTTAGAATCCTTTCTGAGATAGAACAGGGAATACAACACAAACAGGAAGTTTCATCACAAACAGGAAGTTACAAGCGTGTTAAATAAAGTACCACAACTGGGTTCCTCCCTTTTTTGTCTCCAGACCATCAAAGCTCTTCTTTCTCTCCTCGCCTATCTTCTATGTTCTCAATGCAGCTGAGTTTAGCTGCTAGCATCTCTAATGTTTAAGCTAAATAAAGTCACAGATTCTGTTAAATTCTCTTAAACTCTACTGTGTTCTGAGTAGAGGTTCTAGCAATTTAAGGATGATTTAATTGATTTTCACATTTATTAACAGTTATTTTTGTACCAAAATGCCTGTGTTTTTCTCATATTGTACATTTTTTTGGATAAAAGCAACTGATGGTAAGGAAATCCTGTTAATTAATGACTTATTTGATTTGTCTTTAAAAATAAATTCCTTTCTCTAATTCACAAATTTCTCCCAGTCAGGCTTCATGTGCTCGCTTCTGTTGATGAAGACACATTTGATTTCAGAAAGTACAGGATCTGTATTGGTGCATTTTAACGTGATGATAAATCGGCACATCCCAGTGTTGGGACAAAGGGAGAACTGTTGACCTGGCTCTAAACCACGAGGAAGAGGACACTTCAACTCTTCGAAAAAATAGTGCATGGCAATTCCCATGTAAGCGCCATGACCGACAAGCAGAGTGTGGACAGGAAGATTGGACGCTCCATCATCAGGTCGTCCCAAAGTAGCTCCCACGGTTTTGTTTGTTTCAGCATTGTGTACATAGTGTTGATGTGTATTCACTAAGCGCTGGAACATAGTCTTGAGGAATTCTTTGATTCGCACTGTCACCTAAGAAAAATATGTACTTTCAATTAGATTAGAACAGGTGTCCGTATTTCTTCAGTATTTCTAGGTAAAGAGGGTTTATGAGTGTTTACAAAAACAAAACATCAGTATTAGAACTCAATAGAGGGCATGCATATGACATCCCAGTACTTGAAAGTTGCGGTGTGAGTGGAAAAAAAAGTCTAATGATATGACAGCAGTGAGTTAGGGCTGAAAATGAGGAAAAGCTGTTGTGCGGTTGACTGCTTGAACCAATCTTCAAAGACACCATTCTATAGACTTTCGAAGTTAAAAGAATTGCTGCAATTTAATGAAACAACTGGAATCCAGAAGCTGAAATAATCAGTGCTCCATGCTTATGCAGCTACATTAAACTATTATTTACAGTAAATGTACATAACTTAGCATTTAACATTAGTGCTCTGAAATGGACCTATGGCCTTATGGAAATGGCCTCCATAGCTCAGTAATATACAATGAAAAATTAACAAATAGTCATCGAACAGATGTCTTACTAACAAAAACATTTTTCTTTTCTTCACGTAACATCACATACAAAACAAATTGACCAATCTGTCCAACCCAGGCCTGATATAGCTGCCCAGTTGACGTACTTGAAAGACCCTTAAAGGGCATCTACGTCCACATATCTATGAAGTCAAAGGACTTTGAGCCAATCAGGACTTTGAATGCTAACAAACGGACCAATAAGAGTCGCTCCCTATGTAATGTTGCCAAATCTTCCTCAACATCTGTGAAAATGTGGGAACAAAATCATGTTAAACACTTTAGATTTTAAGTTTTGCTTATTTTGTGTATCGGAAACAGCAAAACATGTTGTGGAAATACCTTTTGACGGTAAAGTTTTTATCATATCAACACAACAGAAGCTGTGATTCAGGACTTGCCTTACAAATAAATATTTATCAAAAAATAAATAAGAGAAAAATATTAAATCAAGATTAAACAGAAGACAGAAGGGATGAGGATTATTTTTCAGGTGAGGATGTTTACAGGTAAGTCATGGCCTACGGACACAACTACACTACATTTACATCAACACAGATTGAATTTAAGCAAACTATTTCAAACATTCATTCCTCTTCTAACCCGCGTATTATTCCCTTTCGCGATCACAGGGTGCCTATCACTAGCGCACATTGGGCGAGAAGAGGGGTAGACCCTGGACAGGTCACAGAAAACGATACATGTTGGCTGGGAGTCAAACCTAGGTCAACTGCTTGGAAGGCAGCTATGCTCACCACTAAACCACCAAGACACTATGTCAAACAGTTAAAATATACAACATATACAGCAAAGGATCTCGGTAAAGTGTGCCAAAAATGCTAGTGTTGGATGCATTGCCAATCAATAGAAACTTTATAGAAAAACCTATGCTGATCGACTACTAGTACACTCGACAACAGGGCATCGCGTCGCCCGCAGTGACCACATCAGTCGCCCGCAAGCCAGTTAAAAAAATAGACCTAATCACGAACTATCACCGTCTAAAATTTGATTAAATTATGTTGCCATTCTTTTTGAATTGCATTCACAGTGATGTAAATTAAAAACAAAACGTATAAAAAAAATATAAAAACCTTTTAAATAATCATAAAGTAGCAGAGTTCGCTAATAGGAGAATAAGGCAGAGGTCAGTCTATAGTGCGCATGACAAACTTAGCCTTGGTCTTGAGCGTTGCAAAGACGGGGATACGAAAGCGGTTTCTACTCGCATAAAAATTGCGGAAAAAAGGAAGCAAACGTATTATTTTAATAGTGAATGGGAGGAAGAATTCTTTTTTACTAATGTGAAAGAAAAGTGTGTGTGTGTGTGTGTGTTTCTCATTTGCGGCAAAGCGACACAACGTTAAGAGACACTTCAGCACTTGTCACAAAAGCTACGATGCTAACTACGCACCCGGCAGCGCTCTACGAAAAGAAAAAGCTTACGAGTTAAAGGCAGCTTTGGCCAAACAGTAATCTCAAAAGAGTTGCAGTATCAACTTTCATCCCAGATTACAGTACACTGGTGAAGATCATGCAATGCCAGGCTTCCCACTAACACGCAAAGAAACAAATGACAGATGCCAGTCAAATGTCAGTGCCATGGCAAAGATAGAATGATATAAATGAATGATAAACTGTTACAGATGTGTTACTAAGTTTAACAGACATGATTTGTTTTAATGGCTGCAAATGTAGTGATTAGTAAAAATGTGTTAAGATTTATTCTAAAATTAACTGATTTTTGTTAAATCTTAGATTATTGATTATTTGTACAAAGGTGGTGCAGAGTTCTTTATTTGATAAAAACTGAAACCGTCTTGAAAAATTGGACGTGATTTCCTGCAAAATGTGGAAGTTTGAAAATTAAACAATTGGAAAGGTAAATAAGAAATAAAATATTGCATGTTTAAGTTTATCTGTTTCCTACCTTGTTGAATGAATCTTTATTTATAAATTATTCATCATTAACAATCAGCGTCCTCAGGCAGAATGTCATTAATGTAAAATTAAAGGTGAACTGTGCAACTTTCTGATTTCAGAAGTGTGTTATCAAAGTGGTAGCCCTTTCATTACTCAGTGCCCTTGAAGTAGCTCTCCGCTTCAAAAAGGTTGGCGACCCCTGCTCTACAAGTTTTACTAGGGTTGCGCAACTCTTGTTTTTTCCAAAAGTGTTATTTATGTATTTACAGAGCAAGGATCTACAATAACACCCCTACTGTATCTCTGAATGAATATATAATGAGGCTGATATTTTAGACCATTTCAAAGTACCTGCTCCATGCTCTCTCCCTGTGGTGGTGTAAACTCCGGTAAAGACTGTCCAGCGACTTTAGCCATGTTTTTCATGTCAATGACGCGACCTCCCTCAGCAACACCAAAACACTGAAGTAAAAGGTTATTTTCAGACGTTTCTTAAACACATCAGACATTCATGCCATTTTATGTCACACTTACTCTCTCTATAAGTGATGGATCTTCTATTAGTTCTAGGTCAGGGCACTTTCTGTTGTTCCTCACTATGATCTCTGCAGTCTGTCATTTCACAAACAAAAAGACACAAAAAGAAATATAAATGCAAGCAGTGATTGGGGACTAAGCAGCCATTGGAAAAATGGCCACCAGGGAGATATTGTATGTGGACTGGAATGAATTCAAAGACTGCAGTGGACTACAATCTGACATTTTGCTAAAAAGAAGCATTGACCACTGAGTTGAAAGTTTTATCCTCGTCAATATAAGGTAAATCATTTCCAATATCACCAAATTTGATCCTGGAGGGATGGTGTTCTACAGAGTATAACTCCTGGCCACTAGGATGCACTGTGCCAAAACTGTGCAGGCAACATCAACTCAAAGTTATTTTATTATCCACCATGTTTTGTGTCAACACAGTAAAGCTTTGTGGAGATATAACGTTAAGCTCTGACAGAATGTCTAGGAGAGGATTGAAAAAGTAGGTATTTGACAATTAAAGATGGCAGACATGTAAAAAAATACATCTGTGTTTTAGTAATGATCCAGCGGGAAAAATGAGATCACAGTGAAACATAGCAAAGGTTATGCCTTCAAAACATGGCACGAAATAAACAAAAATGTACAAAATTGACACAAAAAAAAACTAATTTCTGATTAACAAGAAAATGGTCAACACCAAAATGATGCTCCAAACAAATTAAGACCAATTCTATGATTTTAAAACACCTGATATGGAGTTAGTAGCCCGAAACATTAATTTACAAATCCACTGACCACTAGGAGGCGCTGACCTGAAGCTTGGTAGTCAACCTCAAATTATGTTTCTTGACATACACACAAAGTTTTATATCAATAGACAAAAGTCTTGCAACGATATAGCCTCACGACCATTTTTAACGAGTAACGTTAAGACTATCAATAAGATGAAACCATTTGACAAATCTAAACTATTTTGAGGACATTTAGTTATTGTAGTCTGTAGATTATCTTGCACAAGAAATATAAAAATCAGATCAACAGTTCTGAAAATGTAGGTTTTTCAATTAATTTGCATATTGGTTAATCACGAGATCCTTTTGAACGTCCATGATTTTTGTCAACTAATAGTTATTAGTTTAAAACGATAGTACAGTTTAGGAGTTGTGGTAGCACTAAAACATTTGGGCCAAGTTGAAGACCCGTTATACCAAATACCACTTTCCCGCAAGATGTACACAGGCCTTCACACCTGTTCTTGGTACCCTATTAGACGAAGTATTATAATAAAAATTTTAGTAGCCAATAGAACCTCACATTATTGAGTTTCCCCATTCCTCAATCCACCATCAAGATCACTGACCGATGTCTAGCCACAACATTCGCATTTGACCATCTAAGTGGAAGCATCAAATACTGTTTATGTTTGCTCAGTCAACCTTTCATTTATGGATAAACATCTCCCTCTAGCGGCGAACGTGAGGTATGTTTAAACAGATTTTGGTATGTTTTACCTGCTTAGCCCTTTTCATAGGACTGACAAAGACATTTGAGAACTGGACATCTCTCAGATAATCCCCGGCAGCTTCAGCCTGACGAATCCCAATGTCAGATAGCGAAGAGTCGATTTTCTGACCTGAAACAGAAAATAATATTAGAATCCTAGATAACTCTAACTCTAATATAAAATGCACCTGCCACGAAATGGACTTGGTTGTAATGGTGGTAGAAGACAACCACATCGTCTAAAAGTTTACCTTGTAAAAGACCATCTTTGTTGCACTGGGTTTCACCACTGACGAAAAAATAAACACAGAATTAGACGCAAATCTTTTCACCCTGTTAAATTTTACATGTTTCTAACATTTCAATGGTGATGGAGATCAAGTAAATTTTTAACTTGAGTTAAAAGAACTTAAAAACAAATTAAAGCTTTGAAAAAAACAGTATTACTCCCATAAGGAAACAATTATTTTGATGTATTATTAATGACTTGCTAATTTACCCTAATTAGCATAATTAACCTATTTATGAAAGTTGTGTCTGACAAAACAACTAGTCAAATAAACAAGCGGTAATAAAACAAACAAACTAGTTTGAACACATTCTTTATATTTTTTAAAAGTATTGTTAAAAAAGATAAAAATGGTAGAGCTTGGGTGATTTACTTTTTTTTTTACTTGACTTTTTTTCACCTCCTTGTTTATTCTCCACAAAACTGAAAAATCTGTGGGGGGCTATTAACATCGGAAAGCTAATAATTTTGAACAATCATCGCGTCCGACACATTTGTAGCGCATTGTTACAAATTAAACAAAAGGAGTCCTACCGATAGAAACTAAAACTAAAAGAATTAATTTTGTTTTATGTTATTTTATTAGTAAAAGTTGTTTTTTTTAACTTGTATTTTGTAAATATTTCCACTCCAGGTGGAAACTAGAATACAAACAAAATGGCTGCTGCACCCGATGTGACAGTGTGTATTGCATTTTGTTCTACAAACACTAGAATCTACAAAGATATCATCTAATTATCTTTTTCTAGAGAATAGGAAATAATTAAAAATGTGAAATTTCACAGTGGGGCTAATAATGTTTTCAACTGTACAGCATGGATGTGTATTTTATTGTTTTTCTATTTTCTTAGTCAATTAAAATATAACCTAATCCTGCATATTTAACATTTGATAAGTAAATATTTAAGTATTGTAAGTATTAATATTTACTGCTGGTAACGTGAGGCGTTTGCCTTTGACCTTTGAGATGCATGCTGACCATACAAAAGTGAAACGTGATATGAAGGTTTAGTCAAACTTTAATTATGTGTACAGGTGTAAATTATCTGTCAGCAAATTGAACTAAACATGAATCTGACTAATAGTTTTCATTTAATGCTGTAATAGCAAACATAACACAAAAAGTAGACTTACTGTCGGACTATCGTTAAACCGAAAGCGAGCATAGCAGCAGCTTGAGATGTGGGAGCAGCAATGTAGTGTAACTAATAAATCATAATTTAGGTGTCACTATTTTACAAAAGTGCAGTTTACTAAAAACTTTACCCCACACCACCACCGTTTGAAAGCTCCATAAGAATCTGACCGTTTGATGTCAGCGCGCATGCGCAAAGAACTGATTCAACTTTGCGAGTCGGTTCTTTTCTTCAACAAATCAAACCCATTTTGTTTTTTATGTATCTGATTAAAAGATCTATTAACAATTTAATTTTATACATTTCAAATCTGCATGATTCCCTGCCTCCAGAAACAGCGTGTTTAACTTTAGTTCAGCACAGAAGCTCAACCGATTCATTAAAAAG